GAAGTGAGGGAGCACACAGAAGAAGAGAAAAAGAGGGAACATAAAGATGAAGAGGGGAACGAACATGTTAAACATGAAAGGAAAAGGAAAAAGAAGGACAGGAGAACAACCTCAAAAAGAAAAAAGCCAATGGTGGAAAATCACCCAGAATGTTAAAAGTTTAAAAAGACTTTAAAAGGACCCTTGTCAGCCACACCTTTGTTTTTGTTTACCTGTGGATGTTTCCATATTTTATTTCATGTAGAGCCGATCCAAATATAAAAATGCACAATGAAACTGCTTAGGGTAATTTAAAAGACTTCCAGAAACACAACTTGGGACAATGCAATAAAATTTCACTTTCCCGTACATTTCACATATTTTCATGGTCATCAAAAATGGTAGAGGCTGGCTAGAGTCCTTCAAAATTTCTTCAACAGAGGTTACTATAAAGCAAAAAGTTCAAAATGTTCCATGTTTTAATGATAAACAACAAGTGTAAAACCCAAAACTTCAGTTCCTAATGTAAATATGGTTAGTGTTATAGGGAACTAAAAGTGTTCAGTTTAGAATTTAGTCAAAGTGGGTCATATGTATTGCATGACATTTTATCGTGTCATTTCAAAATCAAATAGTCTGGGTCAAACTATGATCTTCAAACTTCCAAGAACTGACATCATTCAAACCATCACCAGTATGTCAGAGTCTTTATGCTTTTCAAAGTTTTAGTTGTTTATTGTGGTAAACAATTAAATCATCATAGAGTGGAATCATTATTTTAAAAAATTATAGACCAATCTTGAATATAAGATGTCAAAAAACAACGAAATATATTTTTCATTTCATGCTTTCTGACCCCAAGTAACTGATTCAACTTCAAATCATGTTTTCAGGTTCAACTGCCATTCTCTTCTGCTTGAAAAACACACTTAGCTTTTGTCCTTGTTTCACAACACAACATAAACACAAGAACAAAGACAATAAATGAAGCATCAAACGATCAGTAAATCAACCTATGCAAAATGTCTAAGTAGGCTCATACTAAAATTGTACTCATACCCACGTAATCTGAAATGCTAGTCATCTTAATATTGTGCCCTCATCTAAGGATAGTAAGGACACATGTTTGTCTTAGTTTTCTTTAATTATTGCCAGCTGCTTTGGAAGTACTTAATATATACGAGGTAACTTGGTTTTTGTTTTTTAGTTTGTTTTTGCATCAGTAAGAGTCCACAACCATTTCATTTAGTGTCAGAATAGAATATTCCACATAAATAAAACTAAAACATGAGCTAGATCGAACACTGGAACTGGTTATGATTTGAATTTAATAGTTGATGTTGCACATGCAATATAGAAGACTTCTAAAAGAGTGCAAAAATTTAGGCTTTTATGAAACTATACACCTTAACCTCAACCATGTTTACTTTACTGAAAGGTGTGAAATTAGCTTCCTTGGGTGAGAGCACAGTGATTTAATATCTAGAGTAGGGACCCCTTAGCTTAATTCTTGCCCTGCACTGAACAGTAGGCAAAGTTAAAATTACATTATACAATACACACATATATATGTATATATAAACAATTGTGGCAAGAAGTTAAAAATTGTTCATATTTTGATGATGATCCATAAGCATGCAAACCAAAAAAAGGTCCCTATTTTGTCACACCTTTGTTTTAATTTACCCGAAAGGATTCCGAACCCTAAATGATCCCCAACCCTGAAATGATCCCCAAATCGACCCGGAAATGATCCCCATTTTTCTTCTTGTCGACCCCGAAATGAATTAGAG